GGCCGGGGCCTCGTTACCTTATTGCGCTTGACCTTGAACTCTGAAAATACTATCTTATTCCAGCATGGAATCTAAAATATATGCTACAATGCTTGGATACACATTTTTATAAAATAGCTTAGATATCACAAGAGAAAAATGTTTTCGATATCGTATATGTGTGTAAATCATATTAAGGTTCAATCTTAAATGTACACGCAACATTTGACTATATCTAAGTCACTTAAAAGAAAGTAAGTTATGAATGTATTTTGCAAGGGCGACAAGCCAAAATGTATGAGTAATATGAATGCAGCACCGCTAGTGAATTTGCATTCTGAGACAGTTTCTGTCTACCAGGCTATATTAATGTCGCTGTACTTTTACAGCAGAGAGTCATTTGATAAGAAATCTGCTATACTGTTTGTATTTATTTCTTTAATAATATATAAGTTAAATAAATTGCTTATAAAATGAGATTGTTTTTTTCATCAATTTCCATTAACGAATGGGTTTTTAATGTTAAAGAATGCTTTCGCTTTTCCTTAACATAAACTGGGTCGTTTAAGTTTTCCTTGAACAAAATGTCGCAATCATTGTATTTGATTTATATATATTCATTTTCCTTTTAAATTAATATAGCTAGTACCAATATCGACCGCGGTGTATAATGTAGTACCTACTTCATAAAACAAGTTTCTAGTCGTTTATTTGTAAGTTTTGGCGGTAACGGTTTCCAATTTCAATTGCGAGTCAAGGTTTTTATTCTAATGAACTATTATAGCGTAAACCATTGAATAGGAGACCTCCATACAACTGAATAGTCCGCAGTGTGACGTCGATTCATCATTATGTATTATACTTATATCTACGCTAGTAGAACAGTGTAGTTACCTACCTACCTACTCACAATTTTTGTGTAATAAATCTATATCATGCATATATAATGTGGCAGATATTACCACGAAACCGTACGTAGTATTGTAAATACTTCTGTGTACGTTAACGGTCCCATAAACTACAGTTTACAGATGTATAGATAGGTACATATATACGCACATTCATTTTTTAAATAAAAACTGGCGAACTGCATGGAAACGGCTCCGCAGTGCCGTAGGCGATGTGCTGCTAGTTTTTTGTTTAATACAAACTTTTTAATTAACATGCAAGGTCTGTCAAAGCTCATAATATCGGGAATGTGCAGCTAGGCCTCAGTGCGGAAGTGCGTCGCTCCCTCGCTGCAGCGCACTCCACTCCTACATTTTCAAAAGGTTCGCATTGCACATTACAACTGTTTAAAACACGAGCTCGTCAAACAAGTTTGCTAATTATTATTTTTTTTGCAATCGTACATTTGCATGAAATTACTTGTATTCGTTTGTGGGTCAGCAGTTTCTAAGATATTTAAATGTTGTAGGAAATATGAATGAGTCGGTCGTTGATGTGTTAATTTGATGTTTGATTATTTTTGTTTTACCTTTATTATGAATGACGTCGATGTTTGGGGAAAGCCCAACGTCGACATAAATATTATACCATTGCGAATTTCTGCTTAAAAATAAATATTTTATTTAAACATTTTAAGGAAAACTGGGACGTAAAAGAAGTAAGTGTCGATAAAATACAAGTTTCCATAAAATATCGATAGTCAGTTTTAGTTGAAGTCAAATTTGAGTTTGAACTAGTCTCGGAGTTCGTGGAAACTATCGGCACTATGGCTCACGGATCTGACTCTACTTCGAACTAAGTGTATATTATATAAATATATAAGTGTGTAACACCGATAGACTTCTAAAATGATACATAGGTTTATGTCTTTTTCAAATTGAAGTGAGTGATAAAATTCGAACAACACACTTAAAGAAGTCATTGAAGTTATGTTATACCTACATAATAATAATATAATAAAAATATTGCTAATGTACTTATGGTTTACATTTACTTGTACTTGTGTTGTCTGTTACAGTTTACAGTCTCAATTTAAATATAGAATTATTTCCAATCAGATGACTTGAAGTTTGTAAATTCACTCAACGTTATTATCACAAGAGCACCTCCATTGTACTTCCACATTCCTATAGTAAGTATTTGAACAAATAATCAACGTCTTCATACGACCAGCCATCTGTTTTACAAACATTAGAAACTCACGTACGGCGTACAATCGCAGAAATAAGGTTTTTACAACAGTTTTTTCATTGTTATCGATTTCATTTGCGGATTCCCGTCAATCAATGTGTCGGTTGCTTGGAGTCACGTACACAGAAGTCAGCTCAGTACTTTGTACGCGATTGTACTTTAACAACCATTTATTAGAGCAATTTCTTTTTTTTTTAGATTTATACAAACCTTGTATTCAGAAACCTTATTCAAGAGATTTGCCAAGGAGATTCGTTGCAGAATCAGTGTAGTCTATACATTGTATTTGTTATCTGTGTAGAATGTGGATATGCATCAATACTATGTATGTGTTTGACAGTTAATTACCTATTAGTTCCATGTAGCTACAGTCTAACCACATATCCAAATTCAGTGTATGTATCGAAAATATACCTACTATAATAATAACAATTTGATTAAATATGTCGGTAATTCCGAATTACCTAGATTATATGATTAGGAAATAAGGTTTATAAATACATATTCACGAGGAAACATTTTACTCAGTAAAAGGTTGAAAATGACTAGAACACAGTATGAAACAAGTATTTCGATTTCCAACAGAAGTACGGAACATTTACAATTATATTTCAGTGCTGCAGTTTGAAGCGGCCGCTTGTAAAAAGCAGAACGTTTAATTAAAGGCTTTTAACAGTTTTTAAACTGAAGCTGAAGAGAATGTAGAGCATTTTATTTGCTTGAACACATTGTTTAATCTGTGTCATTAAGTGAATAGCTAAGTACGTATTTTTAATTGATACAAATGTCTATAAATTTTATATTAAATCTTTAGTTGGATTAAAGGTAAGGAGGAACACTGAATATAGAGAGTACGGTTTGAAATATTTTAAAATTGTATAAGCTTAAGATGGGCACAGTTTAAATGTTCATTAATTTAATTACTGACTAGGATTAATGAATAAAGCGCTGATCATCAATGAATTGAAAAAAAAAACTCAATCACAGAGTAGCTTATAAGCTGGTGTCGATGCTCCCTGTAACAGTTAGCCCACAAAATTGTCAGAGAATGATTCTAACCTGTAATATGACGACTTTGTCCCAAGTAATTGGACCTCAGGGTATTCGCCGTGGGACGAAGACTTTGTTTGAACAATGCCCTGAGTATTAATTACTTTGATTCCCATTGGGAATCCAACTTTGGAATTCTGAAGTGAAAGTAAACAGTTCCTTTGATTAATACAATTTTCATATGGAAATGAAACTTGTATTTTCTATCGTAGTTATTTTTTTATTGCTCATTGTCTACAATGTTTCTTCGTTTATCGCCTGTTTAAATATAACGTTTATGGCCAGTGGTCAATGGTCAGAACGCTCTCTTAGTCATAACGAAACGAATTCAATAAATGTTTCTGACATGATTCACTCGCTGCATTCCTTACTTTCCGTGGACCTCTTATTTAAATTTTGTTTTCGATACGACACAATAAGATTTATTTAAACTGTTTAGACAGGTTTCTTAATGTATGCATGCATTCGTACGTAGGTACACGTCGTTCTTAACAAAAATATACTCGAATAGATTGTACAACGCCTGATTAAATAAAATAGCAAGTAATACCTGAACGCCAACTTAGTGGCAGTTAATTGTCAAGGGTTTACGATAGAGTGTTTCTACCTATTTAAATAATATTTAAAGTAATATTTTTGTGTGTTAATCGCATGGTTGTGTGTTATATTAAGCGTTCCAAAAATTGCTATTGTATAAGTTAATTAGTAATTATTTTTTTTAAATACATACTTAGTGAAAATGGTTGATTGTGGTTTTGTGAGTAACTACAAAAATCAATACCATTTCCTTAATATCGTCAATATCCTCCTGGTTATAATTCAGAGTAAAGCTTATTTAATAAACATAAATTTTGATTATATTTGAAACATAATGAGTCGTCTATATTTCAAAATAATAACTTTAATTGCAAACAGACACGCTGAGTACCTTATAAGGAATATTTATTTATACTTGTTCGTGTATTTAGTGTCCAGACAAAATTATCGGCAAAAATAATAAATTATAATATTATTTGTAGCGTAGCGGAGTAATTACTAAATTTAGACGCAGAGGTGGTTTAGGCTGTTATCATTTAGTTGCAAGTAATGGAACAATAAGTGTTACAGTTTGGCAAAAGTCCCGGTGAGGGCGACGGGCGACGTCGACGCCACGACGACGCCGCGGAGGCGTGTGGGAAAGTGTCCACATGCAACGACAATTCCCCGGGAGCTTTCGGAATCCCGTCGAGTTTGTCGAGCTGTACGACAGAACAATAGTTTCAACCATTTAGGATTTCGGCTACATTGCTTCGTGCTCGACAGTCGACACATACGAATGCCGAGCTATTCCGTGGCGGGAATCGATTCTCTTTTGTCTAGATGTGGGTGCACAGAATTGTTGTCAACCAAGAAAGCCTTCTTTAGATGTACTGTGCCATTGGGAAATGGTTTTGTCTGGCGAGATTTTCGTTTCTAGGTCAGATCAAGCGCGTGCGGAATTTGTTATTACTTTATTGGCTACATAACTTTAAAAACGTTCGTTTTGTTTACTGAAATAGTTTGCTTTTTTTAATATTTTTAAAGCGTTTTAAGTATTTACCTAAAATGGTAGATATATTGACTATATTAAGTAATCAAAGATTAAACTACTTAGTTTCCCTTCTAAAAATTGTCGTGGACGTGGGTCTCAAGGAAACAGCCATTTCATTTCACTCATCAAAGAGCAACTATTGAAGTTGCCAAGCTCATGGAATGTTTAGTACAATTGAAATCACTTCAACTATTAATTCATATAATATCTAAGTATATACATCTGTACGCTAACTATTTAGAAAAATAAATAAAATTCTACGTCTAATTAAAGCGTGCATTCTCTTGGCTTTGGCTTGAGTAGTTGGCAGACAGTTCCAAGTAAGTTGGTTAGGGCTTCGTCCTGGTAAATAATGGAATCATCAATCGTCAAGAATGGGACGAAGGATGGAGCCAGGGCGTGTGTCTCGTCTCCGTATCTCTTCACAAGTATAGAGCCGTGGTCGCTGTGTACACACCTCCATATTGTTTGAACATCCACATTGTCCTGAGACCCGCACTGAAAAGAAAAAAACTTTTACTTAATAGCTTTAATTAATATTAGCAAAAGATTAATTAGTAATAGTATCAAACAAAGCATAGGTGACACGCAAGGCTGAACACAACCCAACCTCTTGTCTGTTCTTAGTTTAAGTTTTATATAGGTTTAAATATAGGTATGCTTTGTGTAATTTTCCATGTATGATTTAAATAAAAAACATATAAATATTATTCCCGTCCCGATATGCACCATCACGAGCTAGTAGCGTCGTTGAAAATATTTCAGAATTAAGTGGTTTTCGTCCGGCAAATAAGGAAGTTGTAAATAGATTTTTTGGCGTTAATTGATATTTTCTATATTTAGGTACCTATTAAACATGTAGCTTCTTGCTTTTTTAATTTTATTTTCTTTTTATAAATGAATGACTTAGCGAAACATTTATGTAGATGTTGGTAAACCTTTTTATTAAATAAATAAATAAATGTAGGTAGGTAATTCTCTATATATATTTTGTGATTGTGTAGTCTAAGGTTTCACTTGGAAGGTAAAAGCAATGCTTTTATAGAAAAACCAATACTAAGGTAAAGACGCGGTCCCCAAGCTTGGAACGGTTTAAGTCGGTGCTTGTAACACTAGTGTTTAAACTGGAAACTGACTGGTAGTCTTTTATGGCAGCGCCTATTTACTAGTTGTTCTGACTTGACAGAAACAACTCAGAGTACACGTCATTATCTGATTTACCTGTTTTGCGAGAATTATATTTAACTAGCCAGAACTGGTCGCAGCTTATTTTAGGTCCACGCTTTGTACTGTCAATTATATCATGTTCTTGCATGTCCTGTTCCAAGGGACTTGAATAGCCACTGTTTGTAAAAATGTGTTATTATGTTAATGTTTATGAAGTTGCTTTAAGCTTTCGGTTAGTATTGTGTTGCATTGTATCTATTTTGTTTTTCATTTGTTTTGTTCTGGTTTAAATTATTCCAAATATCTGAAGTGTACTTACAGCTTAAGTATACTTCTTATTAAAACGTATATTGCCATAGATAGACAGTAACATTGGCCACTGAGCCGTTGAAAATAGTTACAGAAGATATGGCTTCATAAAAAAACTGTATAATTCAGTACAGTGTCTGTATTGAGTCAGTCTTATAGGATTTTTTTACCTGCGTACCAAAACGATGTACACACTGGTACACATCGAAGACACATTCAAGTAAATTATCTTTGTCACTTACATTTAATATTGATTTTCAATAGCAACATCTAAAATCCAATACTAAGTAGCAACCAATAACAACTCTTCCTAAATTACTTTTCATTCAAAGGCTCAAGAACTCGAATACATACCCAATGGAAAACAGAAATGAAGTATTGATATCCGCTACGGTATGAGGTGTTCTGTAGGAGGCAGGTGTTGAAGGAGACAGCTCGAGTTATATTCCGAAGAACATCGATGGCGCAAGCCTGGACCGTGTTGCCGAAACATTCTGGGATCCCGTGCTGACAGGTAAACTTATAGCCTCTGCTCACACGACGAGTCTGAAAGTATATGATAGAAGATTTCTTGTAGTTCAAGGAGTTATTGGAAAGGAGATTAGAATAGATTATTTTTGGCTTTTCAATATCTATTGGTTTGGTTTAAGTATCTATTGATGAAAGTAAGATTTTTCCCGAGAAATGGTTTTTGCGTGAGGTGAAAGATTTTGTTTTACGAGATTTTCCTTGACGAAAAATGGAACTCAAAAAGTCAAAAATCATTTATTCCAATTAGATCTTTACAGGCACTTTTGAACGTCTAACAAAATTTTGGAGATATAGTGTCAGTCTGTCGGGCAGTCCTCTAAGTGAAGCTACTTGCTCGATCCAAAGTGTATAATAGATTCCGATGGAGAAGAACGGGCAAGAAACTCCATGGTTACTCTTTAACAACAAAATTTAACGAAAAGTGTTACGTCACATCCTGATACTTTTCGTAACATTGTTAGTAACTTTTGTTCTTCTCATGTAATTGTTTTTGTCTTGATGTCGAGAACAATAAACATTACAACTATGAAAAAGATCTATTTTTTTTATTCTGGTCCAGCTTGCGATTGCAAGCACGTTAACTATAGCAGGACTTGAACCACAGGAGTGCCTATTATGAACGTTAAGCAATTTGTCTCCGCTACAACCGCGCACCGTGCGTGGAGAGCACACCTCAACGGCGCATGACTTGTAATACAAGTGTATTATGTTTTTAAGTATAATTTAAAAACGTTTACAGTCATTTTCCTAGTGTATAACTCGTTTTACACGTGTATTATATTTGTACAACATAACTAGGCGCATTATTAAGTGTAGGCGCCATAGCATTCCAGTTATGACTCCAGGAAGTAATATATTAAAACCGACTTCAGTTAATGTTAATCTTACATTTACTAGATACAGCATTAAATCAATTCTTGAGGTAATTACACTTTCAGAAAATGTCTAAGTTAGGACGCTAACGAAGTTTTATTAGTACATAAACTAAGAGATGAATGTAGATACGTTGTTTAATGTGATTTAAAAACAAAGTTTGAGGGTTTACAATGTTCATTTGCAGTGGAAACTAAACTGTGAGCCAAGCAGGAATGAAGGTAAGTTTCAGTGTATTTTAAAACATATTTCATCAAACAATTAAAAGTTTAAATAATTGGAGCAATACTATGAAAAGGCTTTACAATCTGCTTCTGACGGTAATGTAGGTTACAAACAATGAAAATGAACAGTTGGTTTTTCAAGCGACAAATACTTAATGTTTGTATTTCGTGTGAAGTAATGCCTAGGTAACAAAGCGTGTTGTATATAAATTAAAAAATATCACATTAACTATAATGATACTGAAATTTCACGTACCTTGGCGTGTCCGTAGGGTATTAAATGTATGTCTAAATATGGGCCTAGCCTCTCCATTGTAGGCTTTAGCTGTGACACGAAGAACTGGGCACTGAATGGACATAAACTCTCATAATACACTTTGATTTGCACTTTTTCTTTGATTGGGGTCACGTCTGTAGTATTCTGAAACGAACAAGTGAAAAACAGTTCTTTCTTCATCTATACAATGTCAAAATAATTGTAGTCTTCTTTATGTTAAGTTACTCACTTCTGCTGTACCATTTTGACTGTCTTGAGTGTTTATCCTATCTGTAGGTCCTAAAAATATATTGATAATAGATACACATTTTATAGGTATTTCATTAAAATCAAGCAACACACTTTGGCACTGAGGTTTGCTTACCACTGTATGTTGACTCACAAATTGCAAGTCCAATAAATAATTGTAATAGCACTATCTTGTAATAATTCATTGTGCACAGTTGGACCACGACTGAAGCTCGCTCTAGGAGGAAAAAAGACGTCTTGGTGACAAAACGTTTGTTGTATCACCCCAATAGCCTATGACCAGCGATAAATCTTGGGACGATAAATTTTTATCATCGTCTACTTGCCTACTTACGGTAACATGTTCGATTTAATGAATAAATGTCTTTGCCCTCATATCGCGAATTTCGTCGCGCGTTTTAATGTTATCACGCCGGATTGTTGTAATTAGCACAGGTCATAATGGTTTTAACCTTTCAGTTTACACTGATAATTACGAGTTTATAATGTAATCACACACTGTTAGGCTTCATGCAGTCATAAAAATTTAGGCTACGAGATATACTGACGCGACTGCATGTCCGTGACTTTGACATTGACTGGGTTTTTGTTTGACCACCGATATTGCAAGTTCAACTGACATCAACGAAAAACGACTGATTACTAATATCTTTTTGCGAGTTAACATGTTATAAAAAAAGATGAATTTGGAGAACAGTTTGATTTTTCTAAAACCTGGTTTGCGACGAACAATGGATCCGCTTGGCACACAATAGATGCTTTCACAAACTATGCTCATTGTATTACTCATTACCTATTTGATGTAGTTCAAGGTTTTAGTTCAAATACTTCTCAAGCAAAGTGATTCTTCGCCTGGCCTGGTTCGGACCAGGAGAGCTGACACTTCCTCTCGCCCCACACAGGGGAAAGTTATTTGATCATATTCGTCCTTAGAAACAAATTAAACTATTAGTTTTTTTTTATGTGATAGGTCGGCAAACGAGCAGACGCATTACCTGATGGTAAGCAATCAGCGCCGCCCATGGACACCCGCAACAACTTATGGGTATTAGGGTTTAGGAGATTTTGGGATTGGGAGGAGGGGAAGGATCGGGCCTCCAGTAACCTCACTCGCACGGTGAAACACAACGCTGTGGTTGTTTCACGCAGGTTTTTTTCCGACTCCGGTCGAGCAGGCCCATTCGTGCCGAAGCATGTATTATATGCATTAGTAGATAGTCCTTATTATTTTGCAAAAAAATTTGTATCTATACGAGGTAAATAATATGTGTTTAATTAAAAAATAGTGTCTAGTTTTCATTTTGTTGTCACTAGTTGTCGCATGAGAGATTTGAAACCCTGTTACCTAATCAAATAGGTTATCCAAAGACTACCAACGATTATTAATTATACTATACTAGACTACGATTATTTCAAGTGTTTAATTGAGTTTTTCAAGGGTTTAAAATATATTAATAGATTGTTCTTTTTTGCAATCTATATACATAAAAGAAAGTCGTGTTGGTTACACCATTTATAACTAGAGAACGGCTGAACCGATTTCATGAAAATTGGTGGGGATGTAGCTTAGAACCAGAAGAAGAACATATGATAGGGAAGGATTGGTAGTGTGGGTTAGGTAGAGTAGGGTGTAAGTAATAGTGTAGGGTAGTTGGTATAAGTATTAATATGAGTGAAGAATGATATTGTAATAAAACACAAATTATACAAATAATTGTGAAACATTTAATCTTTTTAATATTAAGTTCACTGCGTACACGCTGGGGGTGGGTTCTTGAAAGCTGCGCACACGTCTTTCATGAATTTACTCCCGTCGTTTTCTACTCCATTGATGAGGATGTAGGGAACGTACTTGAAGCCAACCTTCTTGCTTTCATCCCCATAGTATTTGAGTAAGTGCATTCCCCTATCATTTTTCGCACAATACTTGATTTGACCAGGGTCTACGCCCAAGAGTCTTCCACACTGTAAATTAGTTCAGTACTTATTATCATTAGTATAAGCAGTAGGTCATTGGCATTTTGGGTTTCGTTTTGAAGACTGCAATTCTAACACGAGGAACTTAACAATCGACGATATCCGATTTTTTTTAGAATTTATCTAAACAATAGTTTCTCCAAATTACCTATTATTATGTATAAAGATTTCAAGATGAACTGTAGTTTTGTCAGAAAATACTTAAGAACAATTTTATTAATATAATTAATCTTCCAGTAGTTAGATAGTTTTATACAGATTTGTTATCCGGGCAAGGACGAAAAGTGTTTTGTTCCAATAGAAACATCGACCTGAATAACAAAAGCACTAATTTTGTTGCCTTATCAGAATAAGTATTTCCGAATGGGCCAACTCTACCACACCAAGACCATGGCAGGAAACTGGCGTAAAATCACGCTTGGCCCAATTCCTATATCCTAAATCTTTTGTAAATTCTTTGGTGCAGCATTTGTTCATGGGCGACGCTTTGTAAACCATCAGATGATCTGTCTACTCGTTGTCGATCTACGCTAATAAAGATAAATTCTTCTAAACATACCTCATCAGCAGCTTCGTCATCAGATCCCTTGTTCTTTCGCGCAGATTCCATCAAACAGGAGTTGAAGAACACAGCCTCAGTGATATTGCCCAGATAGTCGATAGCACACGCGTGTAACTTATTACCGTAACACTCATTAGGACCATGCTGACATTTGAATTGGTAAACACCGTCACTGATTTCTATAGTCTGAAAAAAAATATCTTTTTTAGACGAGAAAATCATAAAATGACTTCTATTGTCTAGGGTGAGTAGAGGGAGTGGGATAGACTGGACTCTAATAAACTCTCGCGCAGTCTCGACAGTAAGCTACTGCGACCGATGCCTGAAATTTGAGAAGGAACGAAGTAGTTTCTATTCAGTAAGAGTCTGACATTTAACGATTGAGCATGAAGATTTCCCATGCGACACAAAAAAGACTGGAATTCGTTATTACGATAACTAACGAATTTTATGCATGTTTTAGGGCTTATGTAGCATGGTACTGGTGGATATACTAAATTAACTACTATATCGGCATGTAAACCAGTTGAACAAGTTAGATAAAAAAATAATTAAAATAACGACGAGAAAAGCTCTACTAGTTTCAAGATACAACGGGACTCTTATTCATGAGCAGCGTGAGCGTCGCGGCTGCGCTATAACTAGTAGAGCTAGAAGAACACACAACAACAATAAAACTAGAAGAGCATTTCCTAGTTAACTCACTTGAGTAAGTCGTTATTTTTGATAAATTTTGATATTGATGTCTGTCACGATAGTTGCTATTCAAAAATGAGACATAAATGTATCTATCAAAGTATTGAAAGTACAAAAAAGTATTGTTTTATGTACGTAGCAAGTTGATAAGCTTAAATTCTAAGAATATTCCGGAACAGTTTTGTATGTGTAAATTATTGAAATAGTTATAACTATAAATGTTATTGACTTATTTATACTTCTAATAAAATTACCTGAGGTAAGTAGGTATCCTGAAAATAACAATATTAATTGAATACGGTTTTTAAAATTTTGTGAATTTATTTATGTGTGCATCATAATGATGTATGTTTTATGATTATGGACTGTCTAGTATCTAATTAATTATTTACAGTTAAAAAATGTTTTAATAATACCGAATCGGTATCAACAAGGACACCTCCAGAAAATACCCAATATTATTCCCGTAGCTAATGGAATTTAATAACTAATTTTGAAAATGTTTTTATAAAGGCAGATATAAACCTCTTCTTGGTCGTTGTGGCCCGGTTCAGGTTCTCGCTTCTCATGCCAGAGGGCTCGAAATCTTGCGAGTACCATTGTGACTTTTTCTAATTTATACGTACTTCCTAAGCGTATTTATGATAAATGGCGAAGGAAAACATCGCGAGGAAACTAACTTACAAGTAACTTTACCTTATGACTTATACCTAACTATAATCACCAATCCACCTTAAGGCAATGTGGAGATTAATGATCAAACCTTCTCTAAATGAGAAGTGCCTTAATAGTGGAAACTTATTATAGGCTGATGCTACGGTGTGTAACGTTATGTAAACATTAGTCCTTTGAAAATAAAATGTTATGTAAGTAGTTGACGAAGTTCGTTAACAGAAAAGTGAAAAAAGTTCTTGTTATAACTTTTTCTAACAAAAACTTACAGCGAGAACTTGTTACAGTTACAACAACTTTTACGTACCTATACGTGACACGAACTTAGTATTTTTTGAATCTTTCGGGCTTAAATTAAAAATTAAGTCTGTATGGTTTTATGTTCTCAATCTATAGGTATATTTATACTAATATTATAAATGCGAAAGTAACTCTGTGTATATTTTCTTCACGACTAAACTACTGAACCGATTTCTGTGAAATTTGGTACTGACATGGTTTGGAACTCAAGAAAGGATATAGGATAGTTTTTATATTAAAACTATGCAGGAAGTCACTATTATATTATAAAGCTGGTATGTTATACGGTTTAAATTGATGACCTGAAAGTTTAGGACGTCCTTTAAAGTTTTTGGTCTTTTTGAAAATGTTATATTCACTTTCTTTAAGTTTCAGAAACTATATAAACCTCTTCTACGCTTCTATCCATTCATGCACGAAAACTGCACTACTCGTATTTAAAAGTATCTTACATACTTACTCGAGAAAAGAAGAAATAAAAGCTATAAACTAGTTTTTCAATTGTTTTTTTAAAGAAAGCTTTTCTTAAGCTTTTGCAAACTAAACCAGTGTCAATAACTTAGAGTATGAAGTAAGAACGGATAAAGAATGCAGAGCATTTCCTCCTCCACGTGTTGTTTTGACCGAACGAACGAATTAGGTTGAGTGGAGAGATTCCGGTTTGCAACTTCATTTTTTATTATATTGAAACGATTTAATCAACTTCCTCATTTATTTCGTAAGCTTGTTTTTTTTAAGTGCACACACTGCACAATATGGTTTTATAGAGAATCAAGTACATATATCCAAATTAATATTTTAAATACGAAAGTTACTCTGTCTGTCTTTTCTTTACGCCTAAACTACTTAACTTAGTTGTGTGAAATTTGGGACAGACATATTTCGGAACTCTAGTTTAAATATACCTATAATGTATAATAAAATAAAATAATATTATAATATGTATAATATTGTGTATCATTGTTACTGTCGAAACGAGTTATGACACAACTTTATAAGAAAGATCTAAATACGTTACATATCTTTGAAGTTTTTTTAAACTAAGAACTTTTAGAGGAACGTAACATTTTTCCAATTCAACTACAATCAAATACAATACAAAAGCGTGACATACAATAGCCCAACCAGACAAACTAAATAGCCGCCCTCGAACTCTCGGAAACCAGCGCGACAGCGTCAAAACAAACAAAATCGACTCAATAGCTAGACATAGACTACGTAGTACTTCAAATTAAATCCTGGTATTGTGTTCGGAAAAACATTTTTGACCGGACCGTTAACAGACCGAACATTCTGTTTCAATGCACCAGACATCACATTGGTCAACCACATAAACAAAAACTTACTGAGCAAAATAGTATTTATTTGCTTAAAGATAAAATTCAATTTGACTCGATGGCTATTAGCGTTTTGCTAATTGTAGTTGTAGGTATAGGTAGCTATTAAAGGAGGTGGAATATCCTCAAAGATTGAACACAACACTGATTCTCTTATCAATGAAATAATAATTTTAAAAAAGTCTAATAATAATCACTGTACCTAGTGATATAAAACTTAAGTTCCGGTTAGAAGAAAATAATATGTATTTAAATCATGTGTATTAATAACGCGCAAAACGACTCTGATGATTAGAATGAAAGGTTAATAAATTATTATTATTATTTGAATAATCATAGCGAAATTGTAAATTCACGTACACACAGTATCATTTCTCCTTCTAAAGAATGTTCTAAGTAAATATGTATGTATCATATATGTTTACTTGTTTTGTTCTAAAACATCTCTATATAGCGCGCAAGGGGTCAATAGTACGATTAATTTATTTACCCACGTATGATAACACAACAATTTGTATCGGTCGAGACCAACGATATATTTGTTTTACTCTCGAAGAAAGCAATACATTTCAAAGACAAACTATTTCTTACCTCTGCATTTCCATAAGGATATAGGTGCAGGTTTAAATAGGGTGCTAGTTTAGCCACTGTTGGTTTTAAACTCGTTGTATCAAAAACTCTGCAATCAGGACATAAACATTCATAGTACAATTTGATTTCAACCTTTTCTTTTTCTTCAAGTGGTTCCTAAAACAAAAGCCATAATTAAGAGAACAAAAAATAAAGTAAAAAGAATTAAAAAAAAAAAACAAATATAGGTTACCTTATTTTCCAGTTCATACCAGTCTGCTTCAAAACTTTGTATCGGTGCTAGTCCGCCATCTAATAAATTAGAAAATATCTCTGGAAACAAATTGAAATAAGTAAGAAATACTGAACATGTTTACACTAAAAGAGTTACAGTTCTACGTACCGGGTTCCTGAGCCCTTATTGTAATTGAGGACAAAGTTATTATGAGGAATACATGAGTATTATATAAAAACATTGTTATGTATTTGCGGGCGATGGCTGTAAGAAGTTACGAACTCTCCTTTGGAGCGGCCGACCCGACGAACACTAACGATAACGCGACATCACTGGCCATTTATGATACGTTACAGTTATTTAAGACCTTTTTCACGGAATAATTAATGCGTGATTTACGAATTTCAAATAACTTAAGCATTGTTTTTGCTTGAAAACATTTTCGAATTTATGATTAGTTGATAGCACTTTGAGCACCATCAAATAAATTTATTTAATGTTTATTGCTATATTTTATTATAGTTTTGTGCTACCGGCAAACATAACTAGGTTTTATGTAACATATTTTATTGATAAAGGCTCATACGGCAACGATACCGTTAAACATTTTGCTAACTTTTACAGTTCTATGAACACTTCGTGCTAGATAATGATTGTTTTTATTTTTGTATTGACATGGTGTTTATTTCAATTAATTGCCCGTGACCAATATTTTAAAACTGTGTGTACGTGTCTTGTGCCATTCAGTATGGACTTCTAGCATAGAGCAAAAACCCCGGGTTTTTTGCTTCATGACTTCTAGTAAAGCGGTCGCGTTATCGTCTCGTCTACTGGGGCCGAGTAATAGTTTCTCTTATTTCCTTTTGTTATAGATAACAAACATATCAGTACTTAATTAACGTTACGTTGCATTACACTCAACAATTTAATCCCAAACTTATGTATCAAATAAAAAAAACAGCTTTGGTTAAATATGTGTTTTATGGTGTAAAGCGGCAAACGAGAGTTTAGACCAAGTAATTGTAAGTAATTGGTGCAACTGCAATACAAGTGTGTCCCTGTCCTTTAAGAAAAGGGGTAGGCGAAGAAAATGACTAGCGGCAGCGACCCCTCGTGTCTGGCCTTAGTCGTGGCTATGGTGCCGAGCGAGAGGAACTTGGAAGTCGTCTCTTCTTTCTGCAAAGCAGCGATGCTCGCAATGAAGGAGGTGAAGCGCGTGAGGAAACTATCTTCCTCAAACCCCAGCTGCCGCAGCAGGAGTGTAAGTGTGGGAGAGCCACGCTTCGGCACGAATGGGTCGGCTCGACCGGATTGATACCACCGCCTCACAGAAAACCGGTGTGAAACAACCACAGCGTTGTGTTTCGCCGTATGAGTGAGGTTACCGGAGGCCCAATCCTTCCCCTCCCCAATCCTTAAATCGCTCAAATCCCTAATCCGCAAAGGGTCGGCAACGCACTCGTAATTCCTCTGTTGTTGCGGGTGTCCATGGGCGGCGCTGATTGCTTACCATCAGGTAATCCGTCTGCTCGTTCCCTGGATGTAATGGATCTGCGGACGGTGAGCAAGGGTAGTGCACCTCAAAGTGCAATAGACCTCCACAGAAGAGGCCTAACCATAACAGTACACACTTATGTATGCCTGTAAAATATAACTAAATTATGTAAATAACGGATTCAACAAAAAGTTAAATTAAGCTGCTAAAGACACATTGTAAAAATAATAGACGTAAAATAAAACAAATTCAATTTTTCCAAACTTAACGAAGGATTAATGAGAATAAAAAGACTGTGAGTGAGAGGATTAAATTTTCACGTAGTTATCAGATGGGTTCTGTTGCAATTAGCCGTGTGTTTGCAGGCCCCGGGTCACCGGGCATCTGCCCTCGCTCGCATTTTATTTGATGAACGGACGATGCCATCCACTGTTCGTTTGCACAACAGACAAATTTTATCTCGTTGGCTAGAACCGAAATTTATCCCCATCCCTAGTATACGCCACCTGGTGCTGATGGAAATGTTGTACCTAAAACTTTTTTTCCAATTTTGATCGGACATGTGCAATCGGTATTTCTGTGCCTCAAGTAATTGGAGCTACGGTTTTCGTGTATCGAATTGGATCGGTTTGAAAATTGACAACAGCCAACTTTGAATGAAATCACCAAAGACTGAAATTGCAACACACCATGGCAACGTGGAACTGTAAATATGATGTAGTAGTTTGTATAGTTGGTTTATTCCGATATGTAATCTTACAAAAGCAAGATGGTGGGAAAAGAATGGAGTTGCTCGACTAGATAAATATGAACATGAACGTATAAGAAGTTTCGTCGTCATATGAGCGTCTGAAGGGCAGGCGGGAGTGCAGTCTGCCGTCTGGCACAATAGCATCGCGGCTAGCTGTCGGGGCTTTGTTACCTCACCTCACATATTACTTTTTGCGACGTACTTTAGAGAAAATTGAATTGTAACATAGTTTCACGAACAGATGAATACAGTGTGCACACAAAGAGACGGGGGATGTTCTTGATGAATGGAAAGATTTAAGCTGCTCCACTCACTAACTGTACTATCTAACTTTGTTGAGAGCTACAACTTTCAACTTGGTTTTAGTTTTGTCGGATAATAATGATGTGTGTTCGTTGTTGCTTATTGCATGTAGAGGTGTACAAATGTATGACAGTCACTGGAGTGAAATGGAGTTATGAATCTCGTTGAAACGTTACATATTATTTTAGACAAGCAAATCAACATAATATCGTTAATAATTAATCCAAAAACATGCATGAATTTTTTTATCTCTTATCGAATACACTAAATTCAATAGTAAATTTCTAGGCTAAAAGAACAAAAAGAAACTGTTTTATACTAAAGGTAAGTACGGAGATAAAATCGGGGTGCAATTAATAGCAAGCGTTGTAGTTGTCGCACTATTTTTCAGGGGTATAATGGTTGTCGACGCTCCCCGTCTGCCGTCGCCCGCTTCGCTTCCTCGCCTTTAATGAGATTTCTTGCCAGACCCTCCGCGCTGATTACAAACAGGCTAATAACACTATTTAACATCTCACTGAGTGCATATAAATGCAGATTAGCGCTAGACGCCAATTAATTGAAAGTCTGAGCTGTTATTTAACTAAGCTCTGGGATTAGAAATACAATTTATTTATTAAAATTAAATACTTTCATTTTCAAACTTTTACAATTATTATATTTATGTTTATTATTTATAAACCAATTATATCTAATTTACGCCGATGTAACGAGGACAGAAACGCACAATACATCTGTAATGTGTTTTCTTTCTATATTCACACAATAATAAGGAAATGGCACGTAATTATGACATCATGCCTGAAATGACAAGATCATGAAATGTAACAATATCGTAAGTACCTATTCTATTTCTTAACTGGTTACCTAAAAATAAATAAACAATAATATCCCAAAGATTCCTTAAATCTATGATCCGAATTATAAAAATGAGAAGAATATCATATATAAATAAATTAATATATACACCGTATTTAGAACATTTCAGTTTTACTCAAGCCTAGCGTAATCAATGGTTTGGGATTCATAAATCTCTAATAATTCATAATAAGCCGGCCGATGCTCTATGGGTTGGAACTTGGATCCAACTTTTTAAACCGTATATTTTACTTAGGAACTCGGTAGGTTTTCGTAAAGCCCAGTGTTCAGGATGGCGGTAGTGATTCAACAAGTTCAACTTAATAAAAACTCAGTCCTGGCTGGAAGCGTTCAGCTATCGCCAGCTCCACTTTGGTACTTATATACTCGTATTTTTCTACCTCAATTCCAAATTTAAAGAATTTTCGTTTAAAGCATATTGAGGAATGGTGGATTTTGAATTTGGAACCCATTTTTTTACGTTAATAGAAGTATCTAACACATGCTTTAAAAACATATAAATTGAAACAAGATACAGATGGTACTTGTAATAAAAAGGGGAAAAGTATTCAAAATATTAGTATGAAACAGGAAAATAACATTTAACACATTACTTATAAATATAATAAGTAGGTACACATTCACATAGCAATAGGCGTACACACGCCGCACACATGTAAAGGAGCAGTACTTTTTAAAACCTGGTATAAAGAATTCCACATTAAGATGAAAAGAAGTAAAAATACGGAAAAAGAAGGTATTGATTATATACATAGTGGAAAGCCCGACAGGCAGGTGGTCGGCGCTCGCTGTTTATTTATCTGCACTGAAATGAAAAATTGAAGTAAATGTTGTTGCGCTGAAACTCGACTCACTTCAATATCTAGCTGCATTTTAGAGACGGAGCCATTATCGTTTTTCTACGGCAGTTTCCACTGATCTCAGAGCTTTACAATATAATAACTAACAATAACTTAATTGCTCGTTATTTGCTTTTACCAGTCGATTTGTGCGAACAATTTCATTTTGTATTTGTTTTTAAATAAAAATGTTTTCAGTATTAATAGGTAATTTTATGCATCTGTTTTACTTGAAGTTACTTACGAATTATGCTTTGAGGCACTTATTGTATGCATCAAAATATTTTCATTTTCCTGATGTTACATAACTACAGTTTTTCAACCGGACATGAATAAAAAATACTTACTCTCCAGTCGTCCTTGTACAAAACTGAGCCAGACTCAATAATAAAATTATTTAACAAAGTAAGGTACATATTCTATAAGTAAGTTTAGCTATTCGCAAAATTCAAAAGTCAATACCCAGAGTTTCCCAAGACGCTCGTACCGGGAAAATAAGTGCTTATTACAGACAAATGGCTCCAATAGCAATTCCTAAGCAATTACAGTCGTCAGTAAATATAATTATAACGCAGCCGAGTATATTTTCACGCATTTACCCAGTTTTCCAGCAGGTGATGGTTCTCACGCTATCCTGACATTAATGTCTCGTTGGGAGGGGTTCGTATCCACGTTAAATATTAATATGGATCGGCCGGCTACCTTCGAATTATTGACGGAGGTACAATATGCCTCTTGTATATTTTATCCGTTACATACTTGAAGGGTAGACATTTTTTTGCACTTTATGAATATACATTTATGCATGACAGAGAAAATATTTCTTTTTTTTTTGATAAAATTACTTAATTTTGGTACCTAAACCTACCTGTTTCAAATCTAAATTCGGAACACGTTACAATCGTCATTACGGCCAGAAAGTTTATTGGTGGGGTTCAAATGTCCATAAAAAGTATAAGTACCAATTGTTTGGGAACGGGCGCGAGGTTAATAATAAACAGCTACAGTAGCTGTTCATACGGTAAAGCGGAATAAACTATGCAACCTTGTAAAGCATTATGCATTGATAAACTGCTTATTATGTTCACAATTTCATGCT